GTTGACCTGAACGTGACGCCAGAAGATAGAAAAATACATGAATGGGCAGTTGCTGGGCTTGGAGGAAAGTAGTAAGTTTATTATTATATGAAAATTTCTTTGTTCAATTATTACCACCATGTCATCCATCTTCATATTTTATTTATCATTTCGACAGTTTTAAATGCAGCGAGTTGTTGTTTTCAACACCAAAAGATACGAAGCTTCATCGGCATGCAATTGAAAGCTTGGGGCATACAACTACAATTTACGTAAGTGTGATAGACGCATGGGCGACATTGCTTAACTACAAGGAACGGTTTCGGAACAGGAATTCCTTGCGTCGTTATTTTTTTAACACGGAAGTTATGGTACGTGAGAAGGATAATATTTTAAATAGCATTTTTTTCATTGTCTAACAGCTTCATCAATATAAACCATAGATACATCGTTGCTTATGACAGGGAGACACTAAGCTAAGATCTAAGAGCGTCAATCATAATACCCAATACGCTTTTTTCAAAAGGATTTGTTATCTTCTGCTAAAAACAACTGGGAAGTAGTACAAATGCGTAACGAAGACCTGGTATGTTTTCCAATTTCAGATTCTAATTGCTGTGTTTGGCTACCATATTTAATATGCACTTAGTCAAACGTATCAATGAATCTGATACACTATTGCAAATATGCGAATCTAATTGCTGTTTTTTTCTAGATGTATTGATTATGTAAACAGTCGTATATTTTAATACGATTGAAATAATATAAGGTTCATTTAGTTTATGTTTATAATGAATCTAATTTCAAAAAATCGTATGTATTATGAATCTAATTTCACAACTCTATCTTTTTGACTAATCTAGTTTTAAGTTAATTATATTCAATATGAATTCACCCGAATTTTACTTTGACAACATGACCAAATAATAGGTATTCTTCCCATTGCTTGACAAGGGACATTACTATCTTGTGGTGTTCAATTTGAAGAATCCATCAATTGTGGTCATAGACAACAGACATAGAGAAGTGTCCGATGATGACCACCTTCTGCAAATGTATGATTTCATAACGGATATCCTGGTATGAACCAAAAACTACCTTATAACTGCATTCTCTATTAAGTTTGAAGAATATGAGATAAGCATTTCTTCCTATTTATGCATCAAAAGTTGATGATCAGACATTTGAATGCAGTAGGACATGCAGCAGGTAAAGAATTGGATGAAACTGGTCAAGAAAGATTGAGATTGGACTGGCAGACAAACAATAACTTTGATGATTGTGGTGTGTTCACAATGAGACATATGGAAACATACATGGGAGATATGAAATAATGGAAGACTGGATTGACACCCGAAAGTAAAACTCAAGAGAATCAAATCGCAAACCTGAGAGTGAAATACGTAGCAAAGATATTGATGAACAGCTATAACGTCAAGAAGGATTACGTAATTAAAGAAGTTGAAAAGTTCAATTCAATCGATGAAGTCGTCCGTGCTAAGATAAGGAAGCGAGCTCACGATACAAGGGTAGAGAGACTGCAAATCTGAGTTTTCGTGTAGACATGTTTAAGAACGTACATCTAGTACTAAATTTTCTAGTTTGTTTAAACATTCTCCTTTTGGCATTTCAACGCGACAGTGTGCATATCATTTTTGATCGTTATATTGTGCTCAAAACACCGTACATTACACTTGCCTATTCGCGGCATGTTTTTGACACTTTTACGTCATATATCATTTTGTTTAAAGATTGTGTTTGCTTTTTTTTGTTGACAATCACATAGAATAACGTCAGGTATTGACAATTTTGATGAGGATGTACAATATTTGAGTTCATGGTTTGGCAAATTGTTAGACGTTGATCAGTCTATTATTATGAGCTTTTTTCATTAAAGAATCGTGTTTCAATGACCCCAGATTCATAAGTTATAACAACATCACCACCAGAAAGATCTATCAGGTACTCAAGTTGATGTACATTTGATTCATATAGTTAAGTATTTCAAATAAGATACTGATACGGAGTTTTGTTCTCGTTTTGTCAGTCTATTATAAAGAATGGATGAATAGTTGATTATTCTGAAAAGACTGTTCAGTCAAGTATAAGTTGATAACTTGATTACTTATTTTTAAAACATTAAGATTAGTACTTAATATGTAATTTTTAATGCAGGTAAATTATAAAATGATCTGTAATCTTTCATAGGTGACGGATTCTATGCCATTCATGTAGTCTATGTCGTAACTGTTGTCTTGAACAAGTAAGTTTACTATTACATTTCATCATATGGCAGGACAATTCATTTAGTTCATCGATCTCCTTTATCATGTTGTTTATGTAGGTCAACGCCCGCATGTTACTAATTGATGAACCTCGTTTCATCAGTACAAAACAAAGATTTTTGACATACTGATGAAGCCAGATTCATTATGAAGCTTGTATTAACCATTATGCATCAAACCACCTGATTACTGTTATACTTAAATTACATAAAGTTTACTAATGAACTTAGATTACATAA